AAGTGCAGTTCCCGAGGCCTGATATATCCCAAAAGTTGATCAATCCGTGCCATGGTGGAGATATGCTTACATATAAAATTTCATCAAAATCGGTTCAGCCGAACTTGAGATACACGCGTGGACACACAGACCGACAGACTGACAGGTTGCTAAAAATAGTTTATTTACACCGAAAACTCGACATGCAAAATTTGTTGCCATCACATAACCTACTTATTGTTTACACAATACGGTCGGTAAAAAAGGTACAGCTGATTTAACTGCGCTAGCCATAATAATTAAAATATTTTTGTGATAGGTTAGCAATGTTTATGAACAAACTTGGTTAGCAACATTTGTTTATGAACACAAATATAGCGCAGTTCTCGCTATATATCGCGATATACTGAATTTATGAAAAGGCCTAACCTATTTTTTTACTTAACACAAAACTAAAAAACTTCAAGAGACAAAATTTTTAGTTATTTTAATTTTTGTTTTCAAACAAAAATACTACACTAGAGCTCCCCGTACTCATTTTTTTAAAACAAAATGCTACTGAAAAACAGGTTGAAAATAACAACAAAACGCTTTAGGAAAAATGCTTCAAAAGTAGAACCGAATCTTATAATTTAAATTTTTATTCCATTTACTTCTTATTTTAATTTTTTTTCGCATTTGTTACTTACTCTAAAAGTATCTACCGCTCGCGAGAAATAATACGATAACCTTATGTGATATACCAGCTGCTTAGCAGGCTTATTCAATTTGTAATAATAATATTAAAGAACTTTTAAATAAATATAAAATGCAGATTAAAAGTTAAAATAAACTAGCAATTATAATAATAAAACAAACAGCTGAGCAAACAAAAGCTGAATGGAAACGCCATATTGACTCAGTGAACATTAAAATAAATTGTAACATAAAAAAGGGTTGGGTTTGTTGCGGTGTTTTGTAATGTCAGTAAAATTGATACCAAATCAAGAAGAAAAAATTTGAAAGACTATGATGATGTAATATTTAAAGAAAGAATCCAAAAATACTTGTCGTGGGTATTTTGGAGAATTACAACAGAGATGAATTCATCGATAAAATTCAAATACTTAAAAAATTTTAGAAATATAATGAAATTCAGAAAGATTAGAATTGGCTGGGATATGTGTTAAGTTTATGAGAGTTATGATATGAGAAGATATAGAAGATATTTGTCTGTTTCGAACACAGTGAGTTGTATAAAATGTGCTGGTGATCATTTTGTAAATGATTGCAAATCTGATAAAATGGTATAATCGGGAAGTAATCGATGCAGAACCGAAAATCTCCAAACCTTACTTGAAATTAAAAAAAATTTTTAATAGATTTTCAGTTATTAAATATTTTAATACTTTTACACAAAGTCTTTTCCAAATAAACGCCAAAAAGCATAAAATTAAGAGGTCCAAAAATGTCAAATTATATTGCATCAGCAAGGTACACGCCTCACATCGGTATAGCATCAGCAACATTTTTTTGCATCGACGCTGCATTGACGCACATTTTTGATTACTTTCCGATTATACATAAACTCAGTGCATAGTGTGTTTTATGGCAAAAAATTAATTCAAATTAAATTTAAATACAGAGCATGGAATTTATGGCAAAATATGTCTTTCAAAAGAAAATTTGATGTTGAACAAAGAAAAAAATTTCTCAGATTTCACACAAAACACATGAAGAAATAAGAGTAATTCATTTAAGCGTCCAAGATATAACTGGAAATTTCTATATTTTAGAACAAATACATTGTTTAAATTATTTTGATTTGATAATAATTAGAAAAACTTGTGGCATTGATGAAGGGGAAAATTTGCTAGACAGTTGCCATATGTATGAGTGCAACTTATATTCAGTTTCAGAGTTTAATAAGGAATTGTGGATATTGCAATGTAAAGTTGAATTAATTAACAATTAACAATTATTTATTAATTAACAATTAATATGTGTCCCTGTACGAAAAAATTTTAGAAAAGGTAATTAGTAAGCAACTTCAACAATATCTGGATCAAAATAATATTTTATATAACGAACAAAATGGATTTAGAAAAAAAAAACAATTTTTGCTAATCCGCCTTAAAGTTTGCTATATGTAATTGAAAATTAGCAAAAGAAAATAATTTGGTAATTGCGGTGGTTTTTCTAGATTTTGAAAGAGGGTTCGAAAGAGTTAGTCATAACATTTTATTAATGAAGTTGAAGCAATATAATATTGTTAGGGCTGAACTGGAATGATTTAAAAGTTTTTTCAAAAGCAGAAAGCAAAAAGCAAGTATAAACGGCCTTTCTTCTTGAAATGAAGCTATCAATATTGAACTTACACTAGGAACTATTTCGGTTCTAAATTTTTTTTTATATGATGATATTACAAAATCATACATCAAATTTTGTACAACTATGTTATTTGCCGATGATGTGCTTATATACATTGAAGCATACAAGATTGTAGCGGTGAAATCAACGAAGGTCTTTAGAGCTTATTTATTTGACTTAGTATTAATAAACTTAAGTTAAACTTAGATAAAACAAGATGTATGGTAATCAACAACCAAACTAATGATATAATCGATATGAAAATTAGCAATACAACCATTGAACTGGTTTCTGCAAATAAATACTTAGGAGTATAATTTGATGATAGACATTATATCAGTAACAAAATATCACCAAAAATTAGATATTTGGTTCGTATCAGAAGTAAAATCACGCTGAAATGTGCATTAACGATGTACAACACCATGATTTTGCCATATCTAGATTATTGCGCATCATTATTATTCCTATGCAATGAAAATAAAAAAGATAGGTTGCAAATTTTACAAAACAAGGCAATGCGTATTATTTTCAGATATAGCAAAAAAACAAATATTAGATTCATGCTTGGTCAGCTGAAATGGATATCTGTAAGATAAATATTTCAATACAATACGTTCTTATTTATTTTCAAAGTTAAACTAACTGAAAATAAATTATGTGGGGAATTAACACCATATACCCTGAGATCTGCAAATTTCTTCAAGCTCCCACTTTTTAGAAAAAATAACATCCAAAATAAATTATTTCATAAGGGAATGAAGCTGTTCAATTCTTTACCAAAAGTGATTATGCTGAAAGTAATTTTAAATCATTTAAACACATTTTCGTAAAATATTTGATATGTATATTTCAACAAAAGTTTTCTTTTTTTGTTGTTACTGCGCTTTGTTTTATTAACCTTTAATTTTTTAATGTTATATAAATTATTTTTCATTTTAATTGAACTAAAATCTTTCCAAAGAAATTTGTACATAATAAGAAATTTTAATTTTAAAAGCAATAATATACAATTTCATGTTCTGTAAAAATTTTGTCGTCTTATTTAAATTCGTGATATCATTATTAAGCTAATAACATGTTGACTATAACTTGATTAAAAAACATTTTTTTTATTTTTAGTATTAGTTAAATTACGGAATTTCATATTTTTGGATGCTTTTGTCTTTTAGAAACAGATTTCTGAACGAAAATTTATGATATTTATACGTAGAGATGTTCTCTACATATATTTTCGGTAACACTATATTACTGTATTTAACCCGAGTTTCAGATTTACGAAAAACTTAAAGATGAATTTGTTTCATAAATAATTGTTAGCATTTATACATAAAGTTAGATCAAATCAATGGCTTGCAAAGTAGCACTTTTTCCTTGAACAAATGAAATTCAAAAGATAATTGCGTGAATTAAGATAAATAATCATATTTTTGGATGACCAGCTTTTACCGTAAGCTTTTTGCTTTATATAAATATTTGAAAATGCTTGCAGTTTCAGAGATATGGGACGCTGAAAATTTTAAGAATTTCGCGATGCGGTCGTTTCGGAGGGGACGAAGGTGGGAAAAAATTTTTTCTAACAAAATAAGTTATGTAAGTAGAAGAAAAACGATATCAAAAAGAACGGACTTTTACAACTGCATTTTGTTATTTTAATGTTTGACTACAATTTATCGTAGTAGAAGAAGCTGTCCACTACACTTTTTCTGCACTTGCAGAATTTACAAATGTTTTGTCTCTCGGCACAATAAATAGTCAAAAAATGATATTTTTGGAACTTTCAAGGCCTATAGCTTTTGAAAGAGGAAAGATAAGTATAGTAAGTATGGTGATCGTGACCCAGTCGGCTAACATGCACCACCATGTTATCCAAGAAATTATACATGTACCGCCTTACATATTATTTGGGTCAAAAGGTGAATTTTTTTGTTTTTTGTAGTTTTGTGTACCGTCATGGTAAAACCGGTAAAACTGAGCAAAAAATGTTCTTCTGAGAATTCTGAGAAGAAAATCAGCTTTGATAAAGTGCGTATGTAGCGCACGAAATATATTAGCGAAAAATAAAAAAGTATTTTATTCCGAATAAAAGGAAGTTTTCTTTTCATACCAATAATAAAAAAGAATTATATTTCGGAAAAATTATCAACCATTGAAAAAAATTTTTTAAAAATGAAATATTCTTTAATTTTGGCTCTTGTGCGGTTTAAAAAAATTTTAAATTAAAGGAGAAAACTTCAAATACGAAATAGGTGGCCCACGATCACCTCACTTACTCTAAATATTTTCTCCTAGAAAATAAAATTTCTAGTAAAGATCTGTTTGTATACAAAATTTAAGTTGAAAAGTATTAATTTCGAGTGCGTCTTGCATTTACAATGTCGGTAAATAAATAGCAAGGGTAAACGCTAAATACTTGTGACTTCAATCTTGAAAATTTTGGTTATGTGAAAATCTTCACATGAGCAGTTATATGTTACTTCTTTCCTTTCGGAAAGTCAAAAAATTATGTATTTAGGTACTAGAAAACTAAACAAACAATGCTGCGAATATCGCAAAGCAAAACAATTAATGCTACATTTGGATCAGCTAGAATGCACACAATGAAAACAAAATCACTTTAAAAGAAAAATTAAATTTTGATATATGTACATGTGTATAAAACAACACCATACCCGGTTCCTTTGACGAAATTTCTTCTATATTGTAAACATCATTGTAATGTAATATTGTAAGCGGTTTAATGTCAGACATATTGCTCAAAAATTTTGTTTTCCCCAATGTACTAATGGGTAATTTATTGGGAGATCCGAATGTTTCGTTATGATCAAAAAGGTTTTTAACATCTGATGTATCTAATAAATCTGGATTTGTACTTTGCAATTGTGTAACAGCCCTTTTCCCAGCTTCACGCACTTCTATTGATGCCTGCGAAAGAAAAATTTTTATCAAAATTTCAAATGTCTTAGAAACACTAAATTTGCAGCTTTGATCAACTAAAAATCAAATGCATTTGCTTTTGAGAATTTTTTTTTCTTTGTGATAAAGAAATAAAACATTACTGTTTTTAAATTTTAATAAAAAAATATGAAAAATTTGAAAAATTAACGGTAAATTCAGTTCGCTTAAATGGTTGCCTGGAAAAGTAAATAGCACATTGACTTTTATTATTTAGTTTGTGCTAATATCACATGCGAAAAATGTGAAAGTTAAATTAGTGCATAAAATTATTGTAATGCAAAATAAAAAAAAATAAAAAATTTGTAGAAGATATCATTGCACTATAGAAAAGAGAATATCAATAGAGAAGATCTCTTTATAATAATGGTAAAACCGTACAAGAAATCAGTGAAATTATTAATAGATACAGAAATCGATCTTTTCAATGGTTTACAATGCACTTCATCTGGTCGAAAATGATGCAAGTTTGATAAATAGAAACATAAGTCGAATATGTACAGAACACAAGACCATTACTTTGATGGATAGATCAATCATTCGAAAGTTCAAGAATAATCCTTTTAAGAGTTCCAGAAGAGAAGCAGGACGAAATTATTGCTGAACTAGTGTTGAAATTTCTTCCAGACCAGTACGAAGGCGTTTAAACGGAGCAGAAATATTTGGACGCATTGGTAAGAAAAAGCCGCTCCCCTTCACAATAAACATTAGGGATAGTTTAAAGTTTGCAAGAGATCATATTATTAAATCTACTTTTTTTTGGAAAAATGTCCTTCGAAGTGATGAAACAAAGACCAACAGGCTCGGACCAGATGCTAGATCATTTCATCATCGCTGAAAAATCCAAGCATTTAACCCCAAGTACACACAAAAAACAGTTAAGCATTTTGGTAAAAATATTAAAGCATTTTCATGGCGTAGGATGGGACTTATAATCCATATAAATGGGCAAATGGATCGGTTTCAATATTTAGAAATTTTAAAAAAATCATATGGAACCACATGCTTTTGAGTTCGCAAGCACACTGCTCGTTTGGTTCAGAATTGCATTACCGAGGAAAATATAAATGTTTTGAAATGGGCAGGGATCTGAATTCAACAGAGCATGTAAGGAATGAGGTGAAGGTTAAACTGCAAGCTCAAAATTTTCAAAATTTTGATTTGTGGTCCGAAGTAAAGGATGCTGTATATTCAATTTCAAGTGAAAGAATACACAAGCTTATTGAAAGCATGCCTCGAAGATTGCAGGTCATAATTAATAATTGAGGTATCAGTACCAAATATTGAAAAGGTAAAACTATAGAATTTCAAATTTTTTCATATGTACTAATATGCTATTTACTTGTCTAGCCAGCCATTTAAGCGAACAGAATTTACCGTTAATTTTTCAAATTTTTTGAAATGAAATTTTTTTTTATAACTAAAACTGATAAAGCAATAATTTTTTTTATTAAAATTCAAAAGCAGTAATATTTTATTTACTTATCACGAAACAAAAAGTCTCAAAAACAAATGCATGTGCTATTTAGTTGACCAAAGCTGTATATAAAAACGGCTTCAAAAATATATAAGAGAATATAACAAATCAAAATAAATAAACTAAAGTTTAATAATTAAAAATAAACCTACTTTTGAAATAATTTTAAGCACTTTTAGCGGTTATCTGTTAAATTAGCCAGCTTTAAAATTATTTTAGATAAAAACCTAATTTCAAAAAAATAGTTTTTTAAGTTTAAAAATCTTTTTCGTGCTATAGGCTGTTAAAAACACATTGGTCTTAGATTTTTTTCATATAAATAAATGCTAACTTGAGAGTTGTGCAACATAGAGTAACTATTGTTTTAAAAATAATTAATACATATTTATTTTTATACCCGTACGAACGTATGTTCGAAGGGTATACTAAATTTGCCTTACCGTTTGTAACGCTAAGAAATAACGGTGATAGATATAGACTCAAGTGTATGTTTTTGATCAGCATCAAATTCTGAGTTGAATTAGCTTTGTCTGTCCGTCCGTCCGTCCGTCCGCCCCAACGATAACTCAAAAACTAATTGAGCTAAATTAACCAAATTTTCACAAATGATTTATTGTAGCCTATTTAAATTGGACATGATGGGGATACCGGTTCGGGTAGCTGTGGTATTGAAATTTCAGAAAAACGAATATATTAGTAATGCCAATGTGTCTCATAAAAGTCGTTGAAATTACTTGGCTCCTTCTGGTACCTGCAATACAATTTCAAAAGCAATTTGGCTATATCTCAGAAACTATAAAAGCTATGCTATTGAAATTTCACACAAGCAAATATATTAGTAGGGCCGATGTTCTTGATAAAAGTCGTTAACATTTCTTGGCTCTTTCTGGTAGCTGCCATACAACTTCAATAGTAGTTTGGCACACACAGAATTTTGAAAAAAAAACACATTACTGAAATTTTTCATAAATTAATATGGTAATAAGGCAACAATTAAAGTCATAGTCTGTCCCATAGTAAGTTATGGCATCTTTATTCGCACATAGGATAACAAATTCATACGGGTATCACAGAGTTGACAAGGTCAACTCTATTTTTTCTTGTTATTCTTACAATTAATTATATTAACTGAAGATTATTATTTTTTTGAGAAAAGTCCAAAGTGAGAATTTTGAATTTTTTTTAAATTTTTAGTTAATCAGAGTTTTTCAAAATATATTTTGTTTTTCATAATTTTCCTTAATTTTGATCTTACAATCAATTTGATCTGAACCATAGTTTTCGAGATAAAGCTCGTCAAAATCAGAATTTTTATTTTTTGAATTGTTTTTTTTAAACTCTAAATTTCTCGAAAATTTTAAACGGTGCACGTTTTCTTTTCTTTTCTGAGTTTCCTTTTTTTTCCTGAGAAAAGTTCTGCAAAACTTTTTATGTTAGTTAAATTCCTGAACAAAAGCAAGAACTGAATGTACTCTATTCTCGTTTTTAAATACAACTTTGTTCATATGCATTTTGAATTATTATTCATTCAAGAAATATATTGCCTTGCTAAATTTATTTGGTTAGAAAATTTCAATGTGTGCATGAATATTTACCTCTAAATGCATATAACATGAAATTGCAGCTAGTTGTATTTTTTTTTTCTTTTAAGAACTTGAAATTTTTTCGATAATTTTATTATATATATATATATATATAGCTACTTCGGAGGTGTAAAAAAGTACGGATAGTTTTAGAAGAGCTAGAGGCATGGTACAAAAGGCATTGGATTGGGTTTTGCGAGTAGAGTTCCAGAAAAAGCAAGAAGTCCTCCCGCCTTCCTCCTTCACTCCCCACAAGATCCTTTGTGACCGATTTTTACAAAATGGTGCTATATCTTATGAGGGTAATTTGCATTTACTTTTGGCACTTTCTCCAAATTACAAAAATTTGCATTGCCAATTACGAAAAAATTCCGAGCAAAAAGGACCTTTTCAAAAAATTTTTTATGAAAAAGCTCTAAAGTCTTAATATTATTGCGAAACATTATTTTTTATAACAGTTTGCAAAGAAAATAATTTTCGTGTATAGCTTTCGTTCTGCCTCTTCGGGATATCACCTTGATGCGGTGAGGCAGTTTAAGTACGACCAATGAACTCGAGAGCTGTGTCGACGTGCACTGCAACTGCGATACCTGACAGGTCCAACCATGTCGAAGAGGTCGAGAGAGACATCAGAAACTAACAAAATTTCGGAGGTCTTGAAGTAATGGGTAAAACCTATTCTGAGAAAGCCCCCCCCCCTCTCACAATCTAGTGGTGTTATACAATCCGTCCCTAATGAACTACTTGGGAACCAGTGCATATACTGGCTGCCGCGAACGGAATGTCTCGAATACCAGGTCAGCCCAAAGAGTATTTTTTACCTTACTACGTCATGTAGTAAGGTAACTCTCGTAGCTACTCGTAGGCCGAAACATTGAAAGACAACAAAAACAAAAATAAAGAAAAGTAAGAATCAGTTTGCCCCCACGCATATCAGATCCTTAAAAATATTCTTTTTTATCCCGATGGACAATATACTAAACAAACATTGAAGTAATGAATGGTAGACTCAACCTTAACCTCCTCAGTCTCTAATTTGGATACCCCATCATGTTTTACGGCTTCCCCAGCTAAAATAGCACTGCCTCCTCTTGTATGGCAACCAGGGCGAGTTGCGCTATAGCATCTATAACCAAATACATTAAAGTACAGCTTTACCTTCACGTTAACACTTTCTTCTTTGAAAATCCTTATTAACTGTGTGTGATTAGTTACATTTCTCAGCGGCGGAGGTTTATGTTTTTTAAGCTGAGCATTCTTTTTTGATGGAGATTGCTCCACCCTGGTGCTATTAATTTCTAGTGCAGGTTCCATTTCTGGTAAACTCTTAACTTTTCTTTTCTTTGACTTTCTTTTAGTTTTAAGAATCCAATCGGCTTTTCTAGCCAACTCTTCCTCATCTGTTTCATACTCGATCACACCTAGTTCTCGGTGCCTTTTGAAATCGCATTCTGTTGTCCCAATAATGTTAAATTTTCTGGTTTAGGTTTGCGAATCTCTTCTTTCAGCTCCTTACATAGGTTCCCCAAGTCGCTCATACGCGAATCGACCATTGGTCCCTAATGCGAAGGGCCTTTACATTACCTTCAGAGGTTTTACTTTTGTTATCTTCTTCAGACCTTCTTTCTGTATAACCTTCTATGATTTTTCTTCTAACTTCCCCTATAGGAGAGACCTTGCAGCCCTTGAGCTATTGCCATACAGGTTCATAAATTTCGCTGAGTGATCTTCTCTTTCGACTGGCGACTTCTCTTAACTTCTTGAACATTCAGTCAAGCCCTCACCGACAGCCGTGGCCTCTGCCAACACTTTGGCAGATATCCGTACCGCATTTTTATTCTTATTATTGGACATTATATATTTGTTTATAAGTTATATGGCTATCAACCCAGTCATGGTTTGGTCACAGC